ACTGGGCGGAGAGAGAACAGTGTTGAAGGCGCTGGCCTCCAGGAGGCCAACCCAGATTGCGTCCCCGAACACAGAGCCAGGGGTGAGTCCTGAGCATCGCCCTGGCCAGGTACTGTCCCTTCCCCCCCATAGAGAACCTCTGTCTTGCAGGAGGTGAGAAGGGGCTCTTAGCTGCTGGGGGCTGGGAAGGGGGGAGAAAGCAGGATGTGGGGGGGGCGGGCCAGCACTATGGACCTGTGCGTGCTCTGATGGAGGCGGGGCGGGGGGGGGGGTTCAGGGGCCAGAAGCCGGGTTCTCAGCGACTCATGCATCTTTCCCTTCAAGAGTGTCTCTGTCTCTGCGCCGGACTCTCTGTCTTTGTGCAGGTCTCTTTCTTCTTGCTGTTTCTGTGTCTCTGTGTCTCTGTCCCTCTTCATTTCCTCTCCCCTCCCCACTTTCCTCCCCTGTGGGGTCCCTCCCTCGGTCCTTCCCCTTCCCCCCTCCCCCCTCCCTCTCATATATCCGATCAGCACAGCAGCAGCAAGGAGGGGGGGCCCTTCCTCCAGGCCTGGGTGTGGGGCCCACTTTCTCAGCCCAGCACTTCCAACCAGAACTTCCAGTCCCTGCTTGACAAAGAGCCCGTGTGGCGGCAAGCCAGGGTGGGGTGTCCTGGAAGCCCGGACCGCCTCACTGCCAGCCCTGCTTGGGTGACAAACATATTTGCATGGGTGCTTCCCAGTCACCTTCTCCCCCAAGAGCCTCCAAACATGGACTCACTTCATCCCCCTCTTAGTGGCCGATGTGGGGTGTCCCGGTGGACACCCAGACTTCGGTTACAGCACTTGGACTCAGGAGCACTCTAGACAGAGTCCGTCTAAATTCCAAAAGCTGGAGGACCACCGGCTCCTTTCTGATCCTTCCTTCTCTCTCCAGCCCTGCTCTCAGATTCGAGGGGTGTGGAGGGGGCACATTCCAGCCAGCGGGAGGGGACCCTCAGATTTGACTCTCGGCAGCATGCACTCCCTAGGGCCCCGCTGATCGATGGGGTGAAAGGTGGAACCCAGCCTCTGAGCTGGTATGCCCCCTCTGCAGGTACCCCCAGCCCAGGTTCCACCCTTGCCTGTGTGAGAGGTTTCTCTGGGTGCGGGGACCCAGGCTACACCAGGTCACAAGTCCCCTGACTCCCACACACAGCCCTGTCACCTCACTTTACCTGGAAACCTCCCTCCCGTCACCCAGTCTGAACCCAGCTCAACTCAAAGAAGAATGAACCCAGTGCCCACTCTGGATCCTGCACTGGAAGGTTGGGGGGGACCCCAAGGTGACCCAGAAGCACACTGGGTCTCCTGCCCCTTTCAGAGGAGCTCAGAGGTGGCACGAACACTCTGGAAGCAGGCTTTGGAAGCAGGAGAGCCCACTTCCATTCCTGGCACCACAGAGGGTCCCTAAGGACCAGGAGTCAGCCCTGAGCACGGCTGGGTGGGGCCCCCAAACAGGCCAAAATAAAGGAGCTACAGCTCTGACCCAGCCCACCCCCACCAAACTCTCCCCATTCCTTCAACCACGCACCCTCCAGTCTAAGTGCCGCCAAGGGTGACAACTAGATTGTCTCTCCATGTCCCAGTCCCCCAAATGTGGCCCCACCTCCAGCCCCAACACAGCAGGAGCCCACCAATACCCTAAGCTCCCCCCACCCTGTCCAACCCGATTCTGTCCTGCCACCCGCCCTGCCCCCATGCACTGCCTTATCGCTTGTTCTCTGCGGACTCACTTGTCCTCCTGGCACCTCCTCACAGGCATCCGACCTGGCACACACAGCTCTGGGTCCAGCCGGGAGGGGACACATGCGCCCCCTCACTGGGCTTCGGATCTCTCGAGGCTCTGAACTCCCTCACAGCTGCCCAGAGAGCAGCAGCACAGGTGACTTGTCACTGTGCAAGTGAGTTTTGTTAGAAGCAATTTTTTTTAAAATTTTTATTAGTGAGACACCATGAGGTACAGTTGTAGACTTACAAATTTTTGTGCTTGGGTTTCAGTTATACAATGATCGAGTAACCATCCCTCCACCAGTGCCCAATCTCCACCACCACCGATCCCAGTATCCCTCCCACCCTCCATCCCCCCCACCCCACCCTGCTTCTGTGGCAGGGCATTCCCTTTTGTTCTCTCTCTCCTTTTGGGTGTTGTGGTTTGCAAAAGAGGCATTGAGTGGCAGTCTTGTTTGGTCCATAGTCTACTTTCAGCATGAGAAGCAAAATTTTTAAGAATTTTGTTTGTTGCCCCCTCACCCCACGGTGCTTGGGGACCCCTCCTGGCTGTGTTGGGGAAACCTACTGTGAGGGGTGGAACAAAAGGCACATGCCCCAATTCCAGTTTATTTTGTTCATTTGAGAGGCACCCCTGGCAGTGCTCAGGCCTTCCTCCTGGCTCTGCACTCAGAGGTAACCTCTCGGCTGTGCTTGAGGACCGATGCAATGCTGGGGTCAGGTGGGGGCGGGTATGCTTGGCAAGCACTGGCCTCTCCATCTCGTCTCTGCGCTCATGGGTTCTCATTTATTTTATTTTATTATTATTTTGCTTTTTGGGTCATTCCCAGTGATGTTCTGCACTCAGGAATTACTCCTGGTGGTGCTCAGGGGATGTTCTGAGGATGCTGGGAATCAAACCCAGGTTGACCACATGCAAGGCAAACGCCCTACCCACTGTGCTGTCACTCTCACCCCCTCAGCTCTAGTTTAGACCTACCCCAAACTCCAGGCACCTCAGCCTTCTCAGCTCTGTCGGGACATGACTGAGCTCTCTCTTTCCAAATTTGATCTGGTTCCATCCCTGGCCTTCTTCCAAGTCCTGACCCCACCTCTGCTCTCCCTAATCCCTAATCCTGTCTCTCCACCCCCCAGGATTAGCTCACCACTCCACCCAGTCAGCCCTCAAACCACCTCTTCCTCCTTCCTCCTCCCCTGGACACTGGCCCCAGCCCGCCCAGCGCCTCTCTCCTCCCCCACCTCTCATGGACTCCCTCACCCCACCTGCTCCGGAAAGATCATCCTTCCAGAATATTCCCCTCAGGGCCCACTCTCTCTGCCCGACTGACTCTGTCCTCAGTGGAGCTCCTGATGGGTGAAGGAAGGCAGAAGAGGGAACCCCCATGGGCATCCCAGCATTCTTCAGGAGCTGAAAAAGAAAAATAAAAAGAATAGGAAGACAGGCATAGGGTTGGAGAGAAGGAACTGGAGTTTGGGGGCTTGCATGTGACCAAAGCAACTTCTGTTCTGATGTTCCAGGGTCCCCCGAACTCCGCCAGGAATGATCCCTCAGCACAGAGCCAAGAGTCTCCCCTGAGCAGGTGCGAGCCAAACCCCTCCTCCAAAAAACAAAGCCAAAACAAACAAACAAACACAAAACAGTCCTGGAGTGTAGGTGGGTTGAGTTTGGGATTGAGAGAAGCCCAGGCTAGGATCTATGGGGTGAGGGGGGGAAAAGTGTGGTTGAAATCAGGGAGGGGAATCTGATGGAAACTGGACATCCGGGAGCTGGAGGCTGCTGAGAACATGCACATGGGGGGCTGCTAGGGAGAGTCGGGGTGATGGCGGTGGTCAGGAAGGCTGGGGGGGAGGGGAGAGGGAGGGAAGGAAGAAAGGAAGGGAGGGAGGGAGGGAGGGAGGAGGGAGGGAGGGAGGGAGAGAGAGGGAGGAAGAAAGGAAGGAAGGAAGGAAGGGAGGGAGGGAGGGAGGGAGGGAGGGAGGGAGGGAAGGAAGAAGGGAGAAAGGAGGGAAGGATGAAGGGAGGGAGGGAGGGAAGGAAGGAGAAGGGAAGGAAGGAGAGAAAGGAGGGAAGAAGGAAGAAGGGAGGGAGGAGAAAGGAAGGAATGAAGGAGGGAGGGAGGAAAGAGGGAGGGAAGGAAGGAAGGGAGAAAGGAGGGAAGGATGAAGGGAGGGAGGGAGGAAGGAAGGAGGGAAGGAAGGGAGGAAGAAGGGAGAAAGGAGGAGGGAAGGATGAAGGGAGGGAGGGAGGGAAGGAAGGAGAAGGGAAGGAAGGAGAGAAAGGAGGGAGGGAGGAAAGAAGGAAGAAGGGAGGGAGGAGGAAGGAAGGAAGGAAGGAAGGAAGGAAGGAAGGAAGGAAGGAAGGAAGGAAGGAAAGAGGGAGGGAAGGAAGAAAGGAAGGAAGGGAGAAAGGAGGGAAGGATGAAGGGAGGGAGGGAGGGAAGGAAGGAGAAGGGAAGGAAGGAGAGAAAGGAGGGAGGGAGGGAAGAAGGAAGAAGGGAGGGAGGAGGAAGGAAGGAAGGAAGGAAGGAAGGAAGGAAGGAAGGAAGGAGGGAGGGAAGGAAGGAAGGAAGGGAGAAAGGAGGGAAGGATGAAGGGAGGGAGGGAGGGAGGTGGGAGGGAGGAAGGAGAGAAGGAGGGATGGGGAGGGAGGGAGGGAGGGAGGGATGGAGGGAGGAAGGGAGCTGTGCTCTGCCGGTGCTGGGTGCAGAGCCCTGAAAGTTCACTGGAGGTTCACAGCAGTGCTGGGTGGGGCAGATCTGGGTAGTGGCTTCTGCAGGCTCCGCCCAGACCGAGGGCCACCCCTGGCTGGGGGTGCCAGCTACAGGCTGCTGAGCCCTTGGGGGTGGAGAGGGAAGGCCACAACAGGGAAATGCTGAGGGTGCTGGGGGAGGGAGTTCAGGGGTTAAAAGCCATGGGTCAGGGCTGAAGGTGGAGGCAGCAGGTGGCCGAGTACTCAGCAGGACCCTCGCCCAGGTAGGGACTGGGAGGGAGGGAGGTGGGAGGGGAGGGGATGGGGGAATTGCTGAGCCTGCAGGGTTGGGGTGGGGACTGGAACTCGGTAGGGATCTGCTGAAACCGGGAGAGCGGGAGCACGCTGGCGCCTGGGACCTGCCGGCTGCATCCTGCGTGTGGGGAGGGGCGGGCAGGTACGGGGCTCTGTGGCGGGGTGTCTTGCAGAGCGGGGCTGGCCCGGGTGTCCAGGGTCAGGCCTTCACCGCCCCTTCCCTTCCTTAGGCCCGCCCCGCCCGGAGCGCCATGTGGCCCCTGGCCGCAGCCGTCCAGCTCCTGACCCTGGCCTCGGCAGGCGGTAAGACGTGCGTGCAGGTGCGCACAGGTGCGCGGGGGCGGAGGGGAGGCGGGGTGCCCCCCCACAATGGTAGGAGGGGTCAGGGGGGTGAGAGCCTCAAGCTCTGTCCCCTCCCACTCGGACCGGTCCCGCGGGGACAACGCCAGAGTGTTTCCGGCTTGCCCCTGCGTGACCTGGTTTCCCGGCCCCCGCGCGCCGCCCTGGGCGACTTCCCTGTCGCTCCGGGCGCTGGAGACCCGCCTCTGTACGGGGGGCTTCCCAGCCCCCCTGTCCAGGTGAAGCCGGAAATGCGCATCTACGAGCAGAGAGCAGGGCAGGGCAGGCCCCCCCGGGGTCCGCAGGTCTGGCCCCTGTCCGCAGCAAGAGTGCACCTTATTACAGATTAGGTATCCACCCTCAGCCCTCCAGAACTCAGCCTCTTTGTCTTTAATCCTGGAAGTGACATCACACCTATCCTATTCCACCCAGAGTTGGAATCCAAGATGCTTCTATTTTCACTTAAGCTTCATTTTCTTGCCTCTGGATCCACCATCCTCCCAGCCTACGATTCATTCATCTGTCCATGTCTTTCTGCCCATCTTCTCTCTACCACCCATCCACCCACCCACTCAGTTCCCCATCCCCCATCCACTCAACCTTCCTTCCTCTATCATTCATTCTCTATCCTTCCATCTTCTCTCCACCTACCCATCACCTGTCTTTCCATCCATTCATCCTTCACCCACCCATCCATTCATTTATCCATCCATTCATTTATCCATCCATCCATCCATCCATCCATCCATCCATTGATTTATTCGCACAACCTTTTTTCTTTCCATCTATACATTCATGCATCTATTCACTTATCCTTCCATCAACCTTCTCGTCCATCCATTAGTCCACCCACCCATCCATTTATTCATTCATCCATTCACCCAAACACCCACCCATCCACCACCCACCCATCCATCCATTCACCCAACCATCTATCCAACTATCCACCAATCCATCTATCCATCCACCCTTTCATCCGTCCATCCATCCATCCATCCATCCATCCATCCATCCATCCATCCACCCACCCATCCAACAGTCACATTGGGTGCCCGGCACAGTGCTGGGTGCTGAACAAGCAGAGAAGCAGCTGTACTCAACACCCAGGGCCTAGCGGGGATGCAGACATTATTCCAGCAATTATCCAAATAATTAGGTAATAATTAGTTACGACTGTGGCACGTGGTGCAGGTGGCAGCTACAGAGCCAGGCCAGAAGCCGGAATACCTACAGGGAGCCCTTGCCCTGGCAGGCACCCCCCAACCCCCAAGCCAAGGCCCCTGTGCTGAGACCTGGGGAGGGAGGGGTCAGGGAGCACCTGGCACCCAGAGCCACCCTTGCCTGAAGCTGGGGTGGCTGCTGTCCTTGGCTGCTCTCCCAGAACTTGGGTCTGTCCCAGGCTTCTACGCACCCCACCCTGGGCAGGCAGGAGTGCCACATGCACCAGCTTGTGGCTTGAGCCTCTAATTACAGCAGCTTCACAGCTGAAGGACCCAGGTTCAGGTTCCAGGGTCCCGGCCCCAGAGTCTCAAAGGTGCCTGGGTCAGGGTCCCCAGCCACACGGCTACCCCCAACCCTGCACCCTGCCCTGGAGGCCTCATGGGCCTCTTCAGCATAGTTATGTTCTTGGCACACAAATTAACGAATAGTAAAAGCAAAGGTGGGCCAGAGAGATAGTACAGGGGGTCAGGTAGCATCGGGTAGAACCCAAACTACACCCCCTCCCAAGCCAAAGCGAAAAAGTCAAGCTTTGACCATTGTCCTAAAGAGAACCCTAATATCCTTTTCCTATAAATGCAAGGTTCAAGGGGAGGAAATCCTGCCCAATAAAACAAGAACTGTGTTTGTTGAGTTGGAGCACCAGAACCTGTGGCCACCACACCTGGTGATGCTCAGGGGTGACTCCTAGCCTGCTGCAGGGTCTGTCCCCCAACCCAGGGGGGCCGAGGGGAACCAGGAGTGGGACTCAGGGCTCTGGCAACAAAAGGCAGGTGCTGCAGCCTGCTGTGTGAGCCGCCTGCCCCCCCTTCACGCGCTGGGGACCATCCTAGGCTCTCCCACACGAGAGGCGCGTATGGCACGCCTCAGCTCCACCCCAGCCCCTTCACCATTTTTCATTCCCACCAAACAGCAAAGGTAGCTGGTTCAATTTTATAGATTTTAGGGTATTTTTTTCCTGCTGTCTCTTCGTGGTTTAAGATGTGATGTCAATGCTGGACAAGAATTGTGTGTTGAAAGTAGGTAAAGGGATATTATACATGGTGAACTTTTAGTGTCCGTATTGCAAACAACAATGCCAAAAAAGGAGAGAGAGAGAAAGAGAAGAGAGAGGGAGGGAGAGAGAGAAGAGAGAGGGAAGAAGAAAAGCACCTGCCACAGAGGCAGGCTGGGGGGCAGGGAGGTGGGGGTGATGGGAGGGAAACTAGGGACACTGGTGGTGGGAAATGTACACTGGTGGAGGGATGGGTGTTGGACTGTATGACTGGAACCCAATCATGAACAGCTTTGTAAGGGCCTATCTCACAGTGATTCAGTTAAAAATATCTGTTTTTTTAAAGTGATTTCAGGAGCCAGAGAGACAGTACAGGGGTTAAGGTGCTGACCCAGGTTCAATCCCCAGCCGCACATAGGGTGTCCAAGAGATTATTGGGAGTGATCCCTGAGCACAGAGCCAGGAATAAGCCCTGAGTACCACCAGTGTGGTTCAAAATTATCTCCCTCTCCACTCCAAAAAACCAAACCAAAACAAAAAAACAACCAGAATAAAAAATAACTGTGAGCGGGCTGGAGTGATAGCACGGCAGGTAGGGCATTTGCCTTGCATGCAGCCAACCCGGGTTCAATTCCCAGCATCTCCTGTGGTCCCCTGAGCACTGCCAGGAGTAATTCCTGAGCGCAGAGCCAGGAGTAACCCCTCTGCAACGTCGGGTGTGACCCAAAAAGCAAAAAAAAAAAAAAAAAAAAAAAAAGAACTGTGAAAGTTAGTCCCCAAAAAACACAAAAAAAGTGAATTCAAGGTTGGAGGCAGGTACTAAAAGCTTATTTTTCACCCTCTGAGGCTTTCTGCTGGAAATTTTGGAATGAGGGGCTGGATAGCTCAGGGGTCCACGCCAACTCTGGTTCCCGTCCCCAGCACCACATATGGTCCCCCCAAGTGCTGCCAGGGGTCACTCCTGACCACATAGCTAGGAATAGCTCCTGGGACCACTAGACATGCCTCAAAAATCCATGCTGCCACCGGAAACTAAAATGTGGAATGAAAGAGGAATTGAACAGGTCGGGATGGATCCGGTATGGGGCTCAGAAGTAGAGCACTTACCTGACATGTGTAGGCCCTGGGATCCATCCATGGTACTGAAGAAAAAAAAAAAAGGAAGAACAGCTAGAGGGAGGGGGGGGGGCGGGAGGAAGGAAACTGCATAGTAAGTTTGATTTGGTGGTGGAGATGAACTGCACCCAGTGGTGCTCAGGGCTGACTCCTGGTTCCGTTTCAGGTATCACTCCGAGCAGAGCTCTGGGGATCATGTGCGGTGTCCGGGGTCAAACCGAATTTGGCGGCATGCAAGGCAGATGCCCTCCCCGCTGCACTATCCCTCTGCCCGCTTCAGTCTGATGACTCTTAGACTCTTCTCTATCACTAACATGCCTTGTGCCCTCTGGCGATCCCTGCTCCCTGCTTTGAGGATCCCTGAACTCTGAACTCTTCATCGTTTTTGATGGGGGTCAGGGGTCTGGGGTCCGGGAGCCGGCGCAGGAGACAGCCCTCGCTAGCAGAGCTGGGTACTCCCATTGCCAGTCACCCTTGATAAGGGAACTCTGCGCCCGCTGGTGCTGGGGAGGCCTTAGGAACCTTTTAACTGGTGTAAACTCTCCCCCATTGCAGCTGAGAAAGCAAGCTGGGGGCTGGAGCAATAGCACAGTGGGTAGGGCATTTGCCTTGCATGCGGCTGACCCAGGTTCGATTCCCAGCATCCCATATGGTCACTGCCAGGAGTGATTCCTGAATGCAGAGCCAGGAGTAACCCCTGAGCATTGCCAGGGATGACCAAAAAAGCAAAAGAAAAAAGAGAGAGAGAGAAAGCAGGTTGCTCCATGTCCAAGGGTCCCAATGGGAGGAAGCCATTTCAGCACAGGACAGTCTTTGTCCCCTTCTCACGACTGCTGTGTCCAATGTCCAGGTCCCTGGAGAGGCTGGTATTCCTTCATTTAGCACCTACTGTGTGTCAGACAGGCTGGAGTGATAGCACAGTGGTAGGGCGTTTGCCTTGCACACAGCCAACATAGCTGACCCGAGTTCGATTCCTCCGCCCCTCTCGGAGAGCCCGGCAAGCTACCGAGAGTATCTCACCCGCATGGCAGAGCCTAGCAAGCTACCCGTGATGTATTCGATATGCCAAACACAGTAACAACAGAGTCTCCAATGGAGATGTTACTGGGCCCGCTCGAACAAATCGATGAACAACGGGAGAACAGTGACAGTGACAGTGTGTCAGACACCGCCAGGCCCTGGAGATCAGGTGCTGAATAACTGCAAAACTGTGGCCAGGGGCCTATGAAAGGAGCCTATGAGATGGGGAGAATTTGTAAAAGCATCTTCATGGAAGAACATGAAAGAGAAATGAGGCCCTGAGAGAGAGAGAGAGAGGGGGGGGGGGGGGAGGGAGAGAAGGGAGAGGGATGGAGGGAGGGAGGGAGGAAGGGAGGGAGGGGATGGAGAGAGTACAACAAAGGTAAAATGCTTGCCTTGCACAAGGCTGACCTGGTTTCAGTCCCCAGCACTGCATATGGAGTGAGCTCTGAGCACTAGGCCACGAGCAATTCCTGAACATAGAACCAGGAGTCAGCCCGGAGCAAAGCCAGGTGGACCCCGCCCCAAATGAGAAATGAGTCACGACTGCAATTCTGCTTTGGACAGCTCCAAGGGCGGGGGCACATGCTGGGCATGTGCAAGGCAGGGTTTGCTCCCCAGCATGGAGCTGCGCCTGGGCACTGCTGGGGTGGCCCTCCCCCCCTCACAAACATATCATGGAAAGATAATAATACAAGTGCGGAGTTGGATGGGGATAGCAATATAAACCAGCTGAAACCAGCTGGCCAGGCCTCTGACTGTTGAGGTGATATTTAAGCTGAGCTCTAGGGACCAAGATGGCCCTAGTCTTGTATCCTGTAGCTTCTGAGCACTGTTCAGGCACCACCTCAGAGGTGTCATACTGTGCTTTAGATCACTGGGGCTGTGGGGGGGAGTTAGTTGTACAATGTGTAGCTTTCCGGTGCCTGTGACAGTAGTCTTTTTAATACTGTTGCCTGTTATGGGCACAGTAGCATTATGTCTTTGGAAAGAGCCATCAGCGGATCTGAAAGCATTGCTGAAAATAGTCATCTGAGCCCCGTGCAAATCATGGTGCTTTATTTTATTTTATTATTATATTTTGGCTTTTTGGGTCACTCCTGGAGAAGCTCAGGGGCTACTCCTGGCTCTGCACTCAGGAATCACTCCTGGCGATGCTCGGGGGACAATATGGGATGCTGGGAATCGAACCTGGTTCAGCCATGTGCAAGGCCAACACCCTCCTGCTCTCCTATCGCTCCAGCCCCCAAGATGAGGCTTTAGCCTGAGGGCTCATCCAAAGCTCATTACTTGTGAAGCACTGCAAAGCGGACCCCAATAGAACAAGGTCAGCCTGCATATGTAACTATAATGTCCAACGGCTGTGCCATCCAACACAGGAGCCCTCCTCACACAGGGCGATGGAGTTTTCGAAGCTTGATGGTGTGGCTGAAGAAATGAGTGGTTCCCATTGTGGAAACACCAGAGGTAGGGGAAGAACTTAGCTTCTGGGGTAATATAAGGACAAACACACAAAAAGGTGTGTTTGAAGAGCACTTGCATGGGCTACATCAGGGGCTAAAGAGAGCAGAGACTAGCCAGGCACATCAATGAAGAAACTGCTGGCTTTGGGAAGGTTTGGGCTTGGGGCTTCACTGTTGTTTTGGCCTTGGGGAGAATCACACCTGGTAGTGTTGAGGGTCTCTCTCCTGGCAGTGCTCAGGGCACCAGGCATTCGTGGGGATGAAAACAGGGCTTTCCACATGCAAAGCCTTCTACCTGGAAAGGTTTGGGGATCTGACTGGAGGAGAAAGAAGCTATGTTGGAAGGTGACATGGTCCTTCTTGTTACAAAGGTTCCGTAGGCTGCTTTGGGAAGACTGGATTGGAGGGATGTGGGATCTCATGGGAGGCTCCAGCAGTTATCCAGGCTAGAAAATAGAACAAACCAAGGAGAACTGAGAGGGCAGGAGGAAGGATGACGATTTGGTAGGCAAAGCCAACACGACCTATTGGTGTGTCACAGAGGAAAAGGAGAAGCAAGCTTAACTCCTAAGTTTGTTTGCTCTGTGTGTGTGTGTGTGTGTGTGTGTGTGTGTGTGTATTTCTAGGGTTGAACCCAGGCCCTCATACTCAATGCTATACAAGTGTTCCTCTGCATCCTGGCTACATTCCTGGCCCTAACACCCCAGGTTTGGAGCTGAGGTGGGAAAGACCGAAAGGGACTATTTGGGTTGAGAAAATCAACTTGGGAGTACAAATGGCAAGAGGCAGGTCGAACAGTCAAGGCTGACAGCGATTGGATTGAAAGAGCTCTGTCCAGATCTGTGGATTTGGGAGTGGTATATTAAAGGGTAGAGGCACCTGGCAAATATGTGTTGGAAGGAAGGACGGAAGGATGATGGATGGATGATGAAAGAAAGGATAGATCAGTCAACAAATGACTGATAGATAAGTCAATGAATCATGGGTAGAAGGATGAATCAGTAAATCCTGCTTAAGGGCCAGAGAAATATTACAAAGGTTAAGGCACTTGCCTTGCGTGCACCGACCCTAGTTCAATCCCCAGCATTGCACCTGAAGCACTGCCGGGTGTGGACCCCCTCACCCCGAAACCCATCCCCAAATACTGCCTAGCTAAATATGTGAGCCAGTCTTAACTTCTACATCTGACCCCCACCCCATGAGTAGAATTGGGACTGAAACGAGGTGGAATGAAATGTGAGGAGAAATTAGATTTTTCCGCCTCCCTATCTGAAGTGTCCTCGTTCCAAGAACCTCCACCTAAGGGGCTCCTACACCCAGACTCACTTCCGGAAACCAACAAATGAATCACTCATTTCCACTCACCGGAGACAAATTCTGACCCTTCCTCAGAGCAGAAACCACAGCCAAAGACCCCCTTCTCCTCCCCTGCACCCAGTCTCGCTCACACTTCCTCTCCCTTCTTCCCTGCACCCAGTCTCGCTCACACCTCCTCTTCTTCACCAGGCATCTCTCAGGAGCACCCCAAGATCATCAATGGCACCAATGGGACCAGCGGGTTCCTGCCAGGTGGTTTCACCTGCCAGCCCCACTCTCAGCCTTGGCAAGCAGCCCTGCAAGTACATGGGCAGCTGCTCTGCGGGGGAGTCCTGGTGCACCCCAAGTGGGTCCTCACTGCTGCACACTGCCAGAAGGAGTATGTGGGGGTCAGGGGGATGTGCAGTAGGAGGATGGGACTGGAGGGGGGGAACAGAGATAGCACAGCAGGTAAAGGCCCTGTACACAGACGACCCAGGTTCAATCTCTGGCACCCCTGAGCCCCGCCGTCAGGAGTGAGTCCTGAGTATAGAGCCAGGAGTAAGCCTTGAGCATCGCTGGGTGTGATCTCAAAAACAAAGAGAGAGAGAGAGAGAGAGAGAGAGAGAGACAGAGACAGAGACAGAGACAGAGACAGAGACAGAGACAGAGAGACAGAGAGACGGAGGGACAGAGACAGAGAGATGGAGAGAGACAGAGTGAGAGACAGAGAGATGGAGAGAGACAGAGTGAGAGAGAGATAGAGAGAGAATAGGACTGGGCTTGAATTTCTTGGATTTGAGAATAAGGATGGAGGGGGAGGCTTGGGGATTCACATGGGGTCATGGGGGGTGACTGTGCTGCCTAGGGGGGATTTGGAGTGGAGGAGGCAGCAGGTGGGTAGAGGAGGCAGCAGGTGGGTTGGGGGTAACTGGGTCAGGCTCACCCTTTGTCCTCCATCCCAGGGGCTGCCGAGTGTACCTGGGCAAACATGCCCTGAGCCGCGTGGAGCCAGGAGAGCAGGTGAGGGAGGTGACCCGCTTCATCCCCCACCCTCAGTACCAGGTCAGCCCCACCCACATGAACCACGACCACGACATCATGCTCCTGGAGCTGCAGGACCCGGTCCAGATCGGCCACCACGTCCGCGTCCTGCCCCTCTCCCGCCACGACTGCCTCCCCCCAGGCACCTCCTGCCTGGTGTCTGGCTGGGGCACCACCACCAGCCCCCAGGGTACGCACCCCTTGCTGGACACCTGAGCAGCCCCCGCTGAGTGGTCAGGGCTAGGGGGGGCAGAGGTGGGAGAAAAGGCCGGAAGTGGCCTTCTCAGTGAGGATATTGTGGGGTGGCACAGAGATGCTTGGCGTGTGGGAGACCCCAGTACTAACCCAGCACCTGGGAGCTGTGGGGAAAAGCACTGAGCACCACCAGGTGTGGTTCAAGACCCTAAGGGCAAGAAAAGAAAAGTCAGTATCTCTGTCTCTATACTGTATCTGATACACTTTATGCCACATATGTAGGAGTTACTTTTGTATCCTTCATCTAAATTTGTAAATAATAGGGGCCAGAGCAATAGCACAATGGGGAGGGTGGTTGCTTTGCAATAGCCAACCTGGGTTTGATCCCCAGTACTGCCTATATGGTCCCCCAAGCACCGCCAAGAGAGATCCCTAAATGCAGAACCAGGAATAACCCTGAGCACCACCAGATGTGGCCCCAAACAAACAAAATTTGTAAATACTCAAAACATAAAGTTATCTAACATGTTGTGCATGATGTTACATGCAATATATATTATTTCACAGAACCTTTATATCTGCACTGTAGCACTGTCCTCCCATTGTTCATCAATTTGCTCAAGTGGGCACCAGTGACGTCTCCATTGTGAGACTTGTTATTGTTATTGGCATATAGAATACGCCATGGGGAGCCTGCCAGGCTCTGCCGTGTGGGCAGGATACTCTTGGTAACTTGCCGGGCTCTCCAAGAGGGATGGAGGAATCGAACCCGGGTTGGCCATGTGCAAGGCAAACACCCTACCTGCTGTGCTATCGCTCCAACCCACCTTTATATCAATATGTAGAAATTTGGGGCCAGAGTGATACTACATTGGGGAGGGTGCTTGTCTTGCAAGTGGTTGTCCCGAATTTGATTCCCAGCACCTCATATGTTCCCGAGCTCACCAGGAGGAATTCCCAGATGCAGAGCCAGGAGTGAGCCCTGAGCACCACAGGGCATGCCCCACAAATATGTATGAATTTAATGAATATAAAATAACACTGTATGTCATATACCTCAAGTTTTATAGCTGTAGAGAGATTTACTATGTATTAGATATCAATATAAAACTATACAGCCAAAAATATTAAAAAGAATGAGAGAAGGGGCCAGAGATAGCTCAGCCGACTGAGTTTATGCAAGGCAGGTGCCCTGGCCTCTCCCCAGCCCAAAGATTTATTATGTTATTCATTAATTGGCTATACAAAATGTATGCAGTCCAATGTAGTATATGAGTTTATATAGTACAAATAGAATATTACAGTATTATAAACAGTTTAATAGTATGAATGATAGAATAAATGGTATAAATGGAATATTCATTTTAATATGCAATTTGTAATCTAGAAAATAACTGTAACTATTATATTCACTTATATTCAGCATGAAACAGATGGAACTACCTGCCTTGTGTATAGGCTTCATCGTAGGGGTGCAAAGTTGGTCTGTAGCAGAGAGATCCCCAAACACAGCAGTTCCCACTCTCTTAGGCTCACTCTTTCCTTCCTTCACTCTTTCCTTCCTTCCTTCCTTCCTTCCTTCCTTCCTCTATTCTTCCCCTCCTTCCTTCCTTCTTTCTTCTCTTCTTCCCTTCCTTCCTTCCTTCCTTCCTTCCTTCTTTCCTCTTTTTCCCCTCCCTCCCTCCCTCCTTCCTTCCTTCCTTCCTTCCTTCCTTCCTTTCTTCCTTCCTTCCCTCCTTCCTTCCTCATTCCCTCCCTCCCTTCCTTCCTCTCTTCTTCCCCTCCCTCCCTTCCTTCCTTCGTTTCTTCCTTTTGTATTTGGGACCACACAGGCAGTGCTCAGGAATGACTCCTGGCTCTGTGCTCAGGCATCATCCGCACTCCTGGTGGGTTCAGGGGACCATATGGGATGCCCGGGATGACCGTGTGCTGGGTTAGCAGCCTGCCCGCTGTGCCCTCATGCTGGCCCCTCTTCCAAGTTCATTTTCACCTCTTTTTCCCAACCATAACCAGCCTCTTCTCCAGCTCTTTCCCCCTCACCACCCCTCCCTGTTCCCAGCCCCACCCCACCTCTTCCCCTCACCTTTCACCTCACCTTTCTGCCACCTCTCCCCATTTCTCGAGACATTTCCGTCTCCCTCACATCATACTCCTGGTCCCATATGCTCTTCCCCCACCATGATCTCTGTTTCCAGCCAGCACCCTAGTTAGTGTGTTCCCCCTCACCCCGCAAAAGCCCATCTGGAACACGCGGCCTTGCACCTTCCTTTCTCTCGTTCCCAGTGAGTTACCCGCAGACCTTGCAGTGTGTCAACATCCAGCTGCGCTCGGATGCAGAGTGCCGCCAAGTCTACCCAGGGAAGATCACGCCCAACATGCTGTGCGCGGGTACAGAGGAGGGCGGCAAGGACTCCTGCGAGGTGAGCTCAGCACCACGAGGGCCAGCGGCGAGGGGTGGGGCAAGGGTTAGCAAGTATCTGCATGGTGAGATCTTCCGTAGTATAAACAGCCCACGGATAAAGGGAGTCCCTGCATCTGATCCTCGGACCACACACAAAAAAGAAGTTTCAAAAGGGAGTATTAGGATCTGGAGTGATAGTACAACAGGCACTTGCCTTGCATGTGGCCAACCCAGGTTCAATCCCCGGCATTCCATATGTTTCCCCGAGCACCACCAGGAGAGATTCCTGAGTGCAGAGCCAGGAGTAACCTCCAAGTATTGCCAGATATGGCCCAGAAAGCCTAGATAAATTCATTAGTTAATTAAAAGGGAGTAATTTCACTTGACAAGGAGAATTCATCTTAACCCTGGGCTTTGATTGACAGGAGCTGTCCAGCTCGGTACATTGAGATGTGTAGATGTGGGGGTTCTTTGGGTTACTAGTAACAGAGCCCCCCAAGTCAACCAGCATCTGCAAGCCACTGGTTTATGTAACTGAAAATCTAGGGGTAGCTGTATTCAGACCCAGATGGATCTCGGGGTGGGGAGGGGAGGGAGTTCGGAGCCACACCTGGAGATGCTTAGTGCTTACTCCTGGCTCTGTGCTCAGGGATCACTTCTGGTGGGACTTGGGGGTGGTCAGTGTCAGGGCTGGAACCCATGCTGGCCCAGGCTCTCTCTCTCTCTGGACCCATTTAGGGCTCTCAAGCACTGAAGAAAAATGTTTTGACCATATTGTCAGTGAAACTCTCCCTTGGCGATAGCCCGATGACTCCCACCAGGTCAGCCTGGGTTCATATGCCACGTGCAAAGCAACCTTTCCAGAGAGAGAATGTCCCTGTCCTTGTCGTCTCCATGAGCCCGCGGGCAGGCCCCTCACTGGACTGATCAGGCTCTGTCCTGAACCATGAGTCTGGCCAGAGATGTAAGATTCTCTGATACTCGCCCCCACCCAAACCCCATCTTTTTTTTTTTTTTTTTTTTTTGCTTTTTGGGTCATACCCGGCAATGCACAGGGGTTACTCCTGGCTCTGCACTTAGGAGTCACTCCTGGCGGTGCTTGGGGGACCATATGAGATGCTGAGAATCGAACCCGGGTTGGCCATGTGCAAGGCAAATGCCCTACCTGCTGTGCTATGGCTCCAGCCCCCCGAACCCCATCTTAACAGGCCACTTGGTGAACTGGGGAGGCTGAGAAGGAGCACGGGGAACCGAGTGGGCTGAGAGTGGGCAAGGACTCTTCTTCAATGGAAACAGAGGCTGGGCACAGGGCATGGGGCTGAGTACTTGCTTTTCAGCGGGGGTCCCCAGCACTAGCTCCACTGCTACCTAGTCCCCCAACCACAACTAGAAATGACCCACCTGAGCCTTGATCCAAAAACACAAACAAATGAAAAAAATCAGAAAGGCTTTACCAAAATAAGGGGAAATGGAGACTAGTGGGAAAAGCCCCCCCAAACAAAAACCACCATTGATGTGTCTAGTAAGTGAGACCGGGGCCAACTGCCAGTGTAGGGGCTGAGGTGCTTGCCTGGCAAGTGACCAAGTCCAGTTCTACCCCTGGCACTGCATGGGGTTCCCCGAGCACCCCAAGAGGAATCACCCCAACAGAGTGAGGAACAAGCCCTGAGCACTGCCAGGTGTGGCTCCAAAAACCAAAACTGAAAATAAACACGGGGGGGGGGGGGCTCTCAGCTCAGTGGCAGCGTCTGGGGGAACATGCAGGGCACGGGGTCTCCTTCCCCAGCCCTCACAGGCCAACCCACAGTAAGACGGCACTCGGAGCCATAAAATCGAAGCAGGGCTGGGGTGCACGGGGTGCAGGGTTAGAGCTGGCACTGGGGCACCAAGGACAGACGTCTGAGGCAAGCTGGACCAGGGTGAGAGTGAGGAACCGAGCAACACTGTGTCTGGCTGTCTGGTTGTTTGTCTGCTCTGACCCCTGCCGTCTTCCTCTGTCTGCATTTCTACCTCATGTGACCATGGGGAGGCCCCCCCATTCAACTCTGCTTCCCACTCAGGGTGACTCCGGGGGACCCCTGCTGTGTAACGGGACCCTCCATGGCATCATCTCCTGGGGAGACTTCCCGTGCGGTCAGCCCAACCGGCCCGGCGTCTACACCCGCGTTTCCCGCTACGTCCCATGGATCCGAAGCATCATCCGCAAGCACAGGGCCCCTGATGGGAAAGGGGTGAAGGGCTCGTGATGAGCACCCCTGCCTGCTCTCCCACCCTCCTCTGCCCCCTCACTCTGTTCCCCAACCTGCAGGGTTCTCCTTGAACCCAGGGCTACACTCTCAAATACTGACTGTCAGCTGCCATTTCAAACTGCAACAAACTGCAGTAACAGGCTGCCCCAACCCGACACACCCAGCACCCGATGTTCTTAGTCCAGGTCTCAACGACCCCACCAAGAGCCCCTTTCACTCTCTGAACACCCGACTCCCCCAGCCCGTCTCCACGGAATAAATGGAACCCTCCCCCTTCAAATATTTATTCAAGGCCACAAAATGTCACCTGGGGTAGAGAACTCACCTCATGTAGGTGAGATCCTTAGTTCATCCATGGCACTACCAAAAAAGAAAAAATGATAATGCTAATAAAATGTTGAAAAATATTCATAGCCAATACACTAGAACATTCTGTGTTTTGTTTTGCTTTGGGGCCACACCAGCGATGCTCAGGGCATACCCCTGGCTTTGTGCTCAGGGATCATTCCTGGGGCCTCAGGGGACCTTATGGGGTGCCTGAGATTGAATCTGGGCCAGTTGCATGCAGAGCAAGTGTCCTCCAACACTGTCCTACGGCTCCGGCCCGAGTCCATCCTTTACTCATCCACAAACTCCCTTCTCCGATGTCCTTGTCATTTATTACTTTACCCACAATGCCAAGAGGCAGCTTCTGAAGCAATGGAAGGAGCCAGGGCAAAAGTCTGAGGCAGGAGCCTGTCTGCTGTGTCTGAAGGCCAGAGCAGGGGTGAGTGCGACTCAGGAGCCCCCGCAGGGGTGATGCTGCTGTGTCTGTGGCATCAGGTGAGTTGGAAGGGAGAGTGAGGATGGGCCTGGGCTCCGATTAAGAGCACTTTCTTCCCTTGCAAGCCGAGGCTGTGGGTTCGGTTTCTGGTACTGACCCTGACCCCTCCCCCCACACCCCATGTTGGGAGGAAGGGGAGGGTCGAGCATGACACCCAACTTTGTTGTGATCAGGAAAGGACAAGGGGCAGCTAACTGCCTTTCTGAGACAAGGCACCCTATCCCTGGTTTGGATTGTTTGTAAACTATTGACCAGCTGCGTGCCATAAACTCTACCTACAGGGGATTTGTGGAAAATAAACAAGACATAAATGGAATAATTGCAGGTTGTGGTGATAAGTTCTGAGTAATAGTAGATGTGATTCAGGAACTTGATGTTGGATAATGGGGGAGGTGTGACTGTTTTAAATAAACTGTGGGGGGAGGGGCGCTTCTGGGAGAAGGAGGCATTTGACTGAAGACCAAAATAAGAAGAAAAAGAGAAGAGAAGAAAGCAAAGAGAGAGAGAGAGAAAGAGAAAAGTAAGAAATAACCAAGTCTTCCCCCCATCCTGCCCAAAAAAAGGGTAAGAAAAAAACACTTTTACAAAGAATCCAGGGGGGGCTGGACCGATAGTCCAGCGGGTAGGTCATTTGCCTTGCATGTGGCCAACCCGGGTTCAATTCCCAGCATCCCATATGGTCACCCAAGCACTGCCAGGAGTAATTCCTAAGTGCAGAGCCAGGAGTAATCCCTGAGCATCGCCAGGTGTGACCCAAAAAGGAAACAAAACAAAGAACAGAAAGGTGTGTGTGAGTGTGTATGAATGAGCATGTATGAGTATGTCTGAGTGTGAGTATGTGTGTATGAGTACACGTGGGTGTGACCAAGTGCGAGTCTGGATGAGTGAGCATGTGTGTTATGAGTATATGAGTGTATGTGTATATGTGTGTGTCTATGTGTATATGAGTGTGTGAGTCTGTGATGTGTGTGTGAGTCTATGTGCGTGTATGTGTGAGAGTATGTGTGTGTGTGTGCATGTGTGTATAGGGGAATGTATCTCAGAAGGAAGCCACCAAGACAGAACGTCTCAGTTAGCCTCTTTGAGCACACTCAGGACCAGAGTGACAGCAGAATGCTGAATGCTTGGCAGGGCGGACCAGAGAAGATTCAGCTGGGGCAACTCATCCAGAGCATTTTAGACCTGGTGAGGGGGTAAGGGAAAGGGATGCAAATAGGGCACCCTAGAACCCTGAGTGGGAAGAGCAGTCACGGGCCAGGGCAGAAGCAGAGAGAAAAGACAGATGGGAAAGAGCCGCGTCCATGTCAGAGGCTCTTAGTGAAGCAGCTGATCCCCACTCACACTGTGTCCTGCAAAGTCGAGAGAGGAGGCGGGAGAGAGAGCATGGAGTAAGCCCAGCCTGGCACACAGCTCCCCTCCCCCCGGCTCAATCCCTGGCACCATGTGGTTCCCAAAATATCACCGGGTACATCTCTGGAGCTCCCGAAGACCACCAGGTGACCTTGTCCACCCTAGCACGCTGTAGAGTGCCCACTGTTTGAGGGTTCCCAAGAGATTTCGGATCATCAGCAAAATCGTGGATTTGCATCCTGTGGAAAACTGACCTCTAAAATCTGCACGAGGTAACAGAGAGCCATCAGGGGGTTGAGCTCCTGGGGAGCTCCAGCTTCCATCCACATCTGGAGGGCCCCAGGCTCTCATCCCCTTTGGAACAGCCTAAGAACCAAAACCCCATAAATACAGAGACCAAAACATGGCTCAGAACCTGGGAAGGTCTCTGCTGAGTCCACGGCGTGACTCCTAGCTCCAGCCTCACTTGACCTGGGATTTTATTAATTCATTAATTTCTGACCACCTCCCATGGTGCTCAGGGCTTACTTCTGGATCTGTGCTCAGGGATCACTCCTGGCAGTGATCAGGAGGCCCTATGGGAAACCAGGGATTGAATCTGGGTTGGATGCATGCAAAGCAAATGCCTAACCGGTGACTTGAAAGGAGAAAAACGTGGGCCCAGAGAGATACTGCAGCGGGGGGCGGGGGGTGGGGCATTTGTCTTGCACAGAGCTGACCTGGGTTTGATCTCCAGCATCACACATGGTTCTCTGAGTCCACCAGGAATAACTCCTGAGTGCAGAGCCAGGAGTAACCATTGAGCATTGCCAGGTGTGGCTCCCCCTTCCCCTTCCCCCCCCAAAAGGGAGAAAAGCATTAGAGAATATGAACAGGTTTGCAGAAGAGCAAACCCAGCAAATCCCATGAAAAAAAAAAAAAAAGAAAATGTCCACGGTCAGGATTATCTAAAAACTGCAAATAACAGGCTCATCTTCACACCTCTGTGCTCCCGGAAAACACAGCTCGCTTACCCATCTCTGTGTCTCTTCCTTTTTTCCCTGGAGAAGCCCATATTCTCTCTTGAGCATGTCCTTCCTTTCTTTCTCTCTCCTCACATCTTTCTAAACTTTCATTAGAAACTGTCTTTGGGGGGTGGCCGTAGTACAGAGGGTGGGGAGTTTGCCTCGCATGCAGCTGATCCTAGCACCCCATGAGATTCCCTGAGCATCTCCAGGAGAGATCCCTTGATGCAGAGACAGAAGTAAGTCCCAAGTACCGCCAGGTGTGACCCCCCAAAACAAAGCAAGCAAAAAAACGACTTTGTTGGGGCTGGAGTGAGAGCACAGCGGGTAGGACGTTTGCCTTGCACACGGCCGACCCGGGTTCAATTCCCAGTATCCCATATGGTTCCCTATGGATCCCTAAGCACTGCCAGGAGTAATTCCTGAGTGCAGAGTCAGGAGTAACCCCTGAGCATCGCCGGGTGTGACCCAAAATGAAAACAAAACAAAACAAAACAAAACAAAAACTACTTTGCTTTACTATGAAAGCCTCCTCCTGAATTTTTTTCTTTTTTTCTGAATTTTTTTTTTCTTTTTGGGTCACACCCATTGATGCACAGGGGTTACTCCTGGCTCTTCACTCAGGAATTACTCCTGGTGATGCTCGGGGAACCATATGGGATGCTGGGAATCAAACCCGGTCGGCCGTGTGCAAGGCAAACGTCCTACCCGCTGCGCTATCACTCCAGCCCCTGAATTTTTTTTTCAATGAGGGATGGCGACAGACCCAGAACATCTGTGCAGAGGTGAGGCCTGACCTGACTGAAGCCGGCCCTTTCCTCACACTGCTGGCTCTATGGGTCAAGCAGAGAGGCGGGAGCCCTTTTTTCCACCTCCCTTGCCCCCTAGTTTATGGAGCTATGCGCAACAGGACCGTGTCATTCCGGGATGGAACCAGGGTCTGAGTACTCATGTTCAAAGCATGCTCTCACCCTTTGGACCATCTCTTGGCACTGTAGTACTGTAGCACTGTAGCTCTGTCCTCCCATTGTTCATCGATTTGCTCGAGCGGGCACCAGTAATGTCTCCATTGTGAGACTTGTTACTGTTTTTGGCATATCAAATACACCACGTGGAGCTTGTCAGGCTCTGCCGTGCAGGCAGGATACTCTTGGTAGCTTGCTGGGCTCTCCAAGAGGGACGGAGGAATCGAACCCGGGTCAGCCTCGTGCCAAGACAAATGCCCTACCCGCTGTGCTATCGCTCCAGCCCCCCTGTGCTATCTGTAGATTTTCATGCCAGCTCCCAAATGTTCCAATTGTGAACCGGAACAAATGGCAACACTTTCTCACTCATATTTATCAAAGGAGAATTTTAAAAAGAAAAGAAGTGCAAATTACAGAGCTCTGAGATCTTTAAAGTTTAATGGAGGAGATGCTCAGGGCTGCAGGGCCTGGTCTGCTCCCTCTTCCACCCTGTGGATTGCATGAACCCCGAAACTTGTGGACCGACCCCAATACCATACTGGAAGGAACCCCACCCAAAGTAGCAAATTAAAAAAAAAACTTTAAGTGGTCAGAGAGACAGTGCAGTGCTGAAGGAGGAGATGCCTTGCATGCAATGGACTCCTGCTCAACCCTTGGCGCCACAAGGGTCCCCTGAACATCACCAGTTGCAGCTCTGGATACCCCAGAGCACTGCTCCCAAGCACTGCCCCTGAGCACTGTGATTCCCCGGCAGAGCCCTCTCACCCCTTATTCCCCAGCTCTAGCATTAGAATTCAACAACTGCACCCAGCTAGCCAAGAACCACTGGAGGTGATCCCTGAGCACTAATTTTTT